CTTCCCCCCAATTCTCCAATAAAGATCTTTAAAAAAAAACAACCAAAAACACACTTATAACCTGACTTAGTTTACTGGAATTAGTCATTTGTTCATTTATTCTTTCAGCAAATGTTTAGTATTTACTAGTGTCAGACACTTCTTAGGATAAGAGAGCCGATTTCCTTACCTCACATTTATGAGGTCCTCAAATTTGGACTTCTGTCATCTCCAGATGGGGTTAACTATTGGACATACACTGACAAAATGAAAAGATGACATTCATCATATAACTTTAATTGTTAAGTGTAAACATTTAAAATATGCCACAATTTTAAAAACTTGTTTGGACATTTTGTTCATTTGTTAATATCCTGGGAACTTAAAAACATGAAACATGTTTCCCAACCCTCTGGTGTACCTACTTAATTTATCATGAATGCCTGTCCAGTTATCTGCCTCCCTTTCAAGAACATAAGCTCTGAGAGAGCAGGAATAGTGTCTCTTGCTAACCATGTTTGTCACCAGCATCTAGCAAGTTATCTGGAACTTATTATATATTTCATACAACTGTTGAATGAATGAACAAATGAGTGAATGCCAGGTGCTGGGAATATGAAGATGAAAAACACACAGGCCTAACCCCAGAGTTTCTCAGTCTCAAGGTCTAGAGAGAACCTTGCAAAAAAGAGGCCTCTGCAGTGAATGCTGTGAGCAGAGTGCTCTGGGTGGCAGAGGAGAGGACCAACATGGTGGGGAGTTTGGTGAGAGGCTTGATGGACAAAGGGGCATTTGAGCTATGACACAAAGTACCATCAGTCAGAAAAGTTACAGAAAAGGTATTCTGGGGATAAGGAATCACATGTGAACACACACAAAGACCCCAAAGAGCGTGGTGGAACTTGTGGAAATTTACAGTGGCTGCGGTGTGGTCAGGAAGTAGCAGACAGAAAAGACGTGGCTTGAGAAGCAGACTGATGACACTTGGGTAGGACCCTGAGTGCCAGGCTCAAGAGTGGGTTCTAGTTTGGGTGGGAAGCTAGAGAAGGGCACAGAATTCTTTTTAAGAATAATTCTTTAGGATGCAGAGTAAAGGATACAGACGTGGATGAGACTATTGGAAGGGAGACCAGTAGAGGTCTTGGGTTTGGAAATGACAGGCCTGATATGGGAGAACTGATGGAATTGCTGATTAAACATGAGATGTGAAGGAGCAGATGATATCTAGAGCAACTCCCAGATTTCTCTTTTGGGACATTAGATGGGTGGTGATAACTAGGCTACCAATACAGGAAGAGAGGGTTCAAATCTGTGGAGTGGCCACGTCCCAGTGGATATGTCCACCAGGCTGCTCAAAGACGGGTACAGAGCAGTGGCTCCCAGTCCTGACTGCACATTAGAACCTCCAAGGGAGCATTTAAAAACACTGATATGCAGACCCTACCCAGACCAGATGAATCTGAATCCCTGGGGGAAGGGCCTGAACATCTGCAGTTTTTAAAAGCTCCCCAGGTATTTTAATGTGCAGCCAGAGTTGAGTGTGTGTGTGTGTGTGTGTGTGTGCGCGCGCGCGCGCGCGCTTTTAAGATTATGGATAGCTTTTGCTACCCCATAATGAGGTTCTTTTGGAGTTCAGAACAATATCTTACAGGTGAGGGCTGAGCCACCCCTACATTCTACCAAATATTACTACTAATAAGGACTGTTTTATAAGTATTCGGTGTTCTTTGTCTGATATTTGTGTTGATTTCTTTCACAAATGTTCTTAAATGGTGTAAATCAATCCAAGCAGAATTTCTCAGTGGGTGCTGCAGGCATGTTGAATGGACTGTGCCTTTCATCCTGTCCTTGGCTCACAGAAGGCCAGTGGCGTCTTCCAGCCATTGTGGAAGCCAGATTGCCCTAGGGAGACATTAAGAAATACTGTGTCCTATGCAACTTTAAAGAGGTTACTTGGCATTTCCCTTTCTCACCTGAAAGCGTTTTTGCTTCATACAAAATTACTAGTTTCAGTTGTTATGCTCAGTGGTTCCTTCTGTAAGTGGTCTTTGTGCTAACAAACTAAAGAAAGAAACTAAACAAAGTAGATATATAAAAGGCAGTATTGTTTTGCACTGGAGGAGGGATTTTGAGCATATTTGTTATAATACTAAATCTATTTTTTTATGGCTATACAGAGAAGCAAATTAAACACTAGGTAAGAAATGGTCAAATACTGGGGTTTAAGCAAAATACTACTCCAGGCATCGTACAAATTGAATAGCAGTGGTGATGAAGGATGTGTCCATTTGCTATTGCTGCTGTAACAAATTGTCACAAACAT